AAAGGCCTGCTTAATATCTGCGGTGAAAGCTATTGGATTATACCGAAATCTTAACAATATTTTGAATATTTCAGGGTATAAATTTGGCCCAACATGTAAACAGTCATTTAAAGAAATGGATCCTGGGGCATGCGATGATGCATCATAAACAATACGTAATTTACTTGTAGTTCGATCCTTGCGTATAACTTCCCTATGAGCACGATAAAACACGGTTATATAAAACACGATATCCTCTTCATTTGAAATTTCTGTAACTGGTTCGATAATATTTTGTTTTAACTGATCTCTTAATATGTTCCTGTATTCGGAAAATAGATTAGGATTTTTTTAAAATCGTTTTCGAAGTCAATAAAATCTTTCTTCCGCGATTTCCCTATTATTATTTAGATTTGATGTGTCATGTTTCCAAGGCAATCTAACTTTATAGCGAGAATTTTCATATGTTATATTTGTTTCGAAACATTCAACGACTTCATTTTCAGTTAAATCGAAGTTTTCCCTCTTATCAATAAGTCCTGAGTTTTCCAAGTCCCAAAATTTTGTTATTTGTTTGGAAATCAAATCTTCCCCTACAACTACATTGAAAGCTAAAGAGACATCATCATCACCTTTTTGTCCATGTAGGCACCAGCCGAAAATAGTTTCCACTGCAACAAGATTTTTGCTTAAGTATTTAACGTGTCCCATTATTACGTTGTAATAATAATCTGCACCAATTAGAACGGCAATGGGTTTTTTACAATCGGGAAAATCTGCGAGCATCAAATTTTTTAATTGTCTGTTTTGCTTAATTTCTTCTGATTTAGGAGCAGGAATATCTGTACCTGATATATGATCAGTTACTAATAATTCAACTTCTATTTTAGAATCAGAAGAACTTCTATGTTCCAAAGTTTATTTAACTACGTTACAATTTTTTTTTTTGATGGGTGAAGTATTCCCAAAAGTGTAGACGGTCAATTTTTCTTTTCTTATGACTTCGAGGTTTAATCTGTCCGCTAACTCGCGAGCACAAAAAATTTTCATACTTCCAGCTATGCAAGAGAAGTCTAGCAAACACCTTTTCCTTAGCTGTTTTAACTTTTACTGTGCAAATCTCTAAAAGAATTGTGTTATTTACACTATGTGAAACGGCCGAAACAATTTCTTCCTTCTGTTCCTTAGTTTGTGTCTCATTTCTCGAAATTGATATACTATCCTTTTTATCACTTGGTGTATTTTTAACTATCGAATTGGATTTAAAACATATGGCTTCTGAATGTTTATCTTTGCAAATTTTACAAACTTTAGTTTGACGTTGCCGGCATTGTGAGATTTTGTGCTTAGGGGCAAGACAAAGGAAACAACATGCTTGGTTCTTCAAAATATCTCTCTTTTCATAAACTGTAAAGCATAAGCAGGACTCTGAGTCATGGTTTTGAAAACAAAAAATGCAGTTTCGATTTGATGATGCGGCTGCCATAAATTCATGTATGGTGACAGTTTGTTTATGTTTCGGCGTCGGTGGATATCTGTTAATACTACCTCTCATTTCCGGTTTTGACTTGCATGGAAAGGATAAGGATTTAATTTTTTCTCGCGATTTTATTTCTAATCGGAGAAAGACTAGAAATTTGTTTAAATCATAGGTTGAAGGAATTCCAGCATTTGTACGATGAAATTCTAAAGTTATATCGTTTGGGACAATTTGTATCAAAATTGGAATAAAATTGTTGGAATATGTTTCTGGTTTCACACCGAATGCTAAAAGGGCTTCTAATTTAAACGTTAATTGCATCATAAAGTTTTTGCAATCCGTTCAATGAAGTTGTCACTTCATTTGAACGGGATTTAAATTTCAGAGATTAGAAATGTGTGTATTGATAATAAGGTCACTTTGACCAAATCTATTTTTAAGAATGTCTATAGCATAATGTCTATTTTTAAGAATGTCTATAGCATATTCAAAGTCATAATTAGGCTCTGAGATTGAGAGACCCTCTATGGCTGATGCTGCATTTTCACATAAATAAGTTCTTAAATAATTAAATTTTTGATCTTCGAAAGTGTACCATTGTCATGAATAGTAACCTTGAATGAATTCCAAAAATTCATCCAACCGTTATAGTCTCCGGAAAATTTGTGAATTAACAGTTTGGGCAATTTTACATTACCTTCAATCTGTCTTTCGGTTTCAACTTCTGTAGATGAATTATTTAAATTCATGTTGACATTTTGAGTATTGTATTTCCTTAAATAACGGTTGATTTTAGACTTCGTTATTATTATTTTATCGCTATATTCCACAGAAGTGTTAATATCTGAATCAAATTTTGATTCATCTTCAATTAAATTTTGTATTTTTTCATTTAAATCATGTAATTCCGTTTCTTTACTTGTTTTTCTTCTTTTAAATACTCATCTACATTTTTAATAATCTGAGTCACAGAAGCACGTATATGTGCTCAATTCTTATTTAGTGTCTTCTGTTCCATTTTAATAAATTATCAATGGAGACTTACCGTTAGCAGTCTTCGCTTACAAAGCTAATCCAAGAGGTGAAAAACACAAAATTTCAAATTAATCAGATTGTTTCCCGTAGCGGATGCACCATTTGAAACGAAATGTTGTAGATCAAATTCGAATCACTCATAATCCAAAATGAGATGCATGGCCTGGAGGGTTTTACATAAATTTTAATTAAACTTAATATATACATACATACAATGTAGGCTAAAATGCCTGAATCGAATATTAAGGCTCAAAAAGCAAGAACTGAATAGTTCCATCAAAGAATTTAAATCGAATTCTATTGCATAGTGCATCAAATTCTACCTTCAAGAAGAAGATTATTTTTCCAAGTCACGTGTTGAGAAGGGGAAGCGTCAAGTAAGCCAATAGATGGACATCTAATGCCATCTCTTGGCGATATCAAAGAATATTCCTTAATAGTATGTATGCACGTCATGTGCATATGTCTATGTATTTATATGTGTGTAAACACATGTATACATTCATATGTATATATATGCGCATACATGAAACACATACATCCGTATATACATGCATACATTTTTTAATCTGATCCCGATAACAGAAGAGTACCGTAATTTATTATATAGATTAATAGGAATAAGAAATTAAATAATATTCTTTACAAAATTCATTTAAAATTTATATCATGAATAATAAAAAAAAAGTCGTGCCCTATATATATTTTTTGACATTGGAAATCGACTGTTTGATTTCGTTATTTAAGTGTCTGCGCTTTTATAATCCTTGATATAAATTGCACATGAATATTGTAAAGAAGTTTAATTAATCTCTTGTTCCCATTAAAATATGCCACAAATTATTTTTTCTAGTTGGGAAGACACATGCCATGTATCCACAATTATGCTCAGATAGTCCGCAGCTTTCATAGTCTGTTCTACCACAACTAAGGGTTCCAAAGCCGCCCATTAGAATGCTCCCCAAATCACCAGCCAGTGTATAACCTGTTGTACAGGAGGGGGAGCAAGTGTTCACTGGGAAGACAGCATATCCTGACATGACCATCGACATGATGAATGAGATATTATGATTTATACAACCATGCAACTATCTTCCACTTAGCCATGGTCCAGTCGCAATGTTTCTGGGCCCACTTGTATGGTAGTTGACAATGAACAGCTTGGTCAACAGAGGTACGTGAGGTGGGAAGTCTGCTGTGCAATCCCATATCCAACAGTGTTGGCTCAGCACTTGAACCTGCAATGCATTGGGCTATCAGCTGACCCAATGTCTGGTGCCAATTTTGCTGTACCAGGTGGAACAGTCTTCGTCATCCTATTTCTTTGATGAGGTGTGGACGTCCAAAACCTTGGCATCTGCTGCTAATTTCACCATTATTTATCCACTTTGCATAAATACTAACTATGGCAGATCAAGGACAACCTACCAGTCATGGAGTGCCAGAGATACTCGTTCTGAGACTTCAAGCCATTACAATCTGCCCTCTATCAAATTCTCATAAATGAGCAGCCTTTCCTATCACTCCCAAATTACCTTCTCCAGCAGTAGTTAAATACTATTCCCACTTAATCATGTTTCCTCCCCATCATCTAGACGAGTCCATTGAAAAATGTGGTGATGGTCATAATGTTCTGACTGATCAGTGTAAATGTAACAGCTAAGGAGAAAAAGGAAGGGATTTTATTGAGATTGGTTCCCAATCAAATCGTACAAAATAAAAAAGAATTGATGATATGGGAAAAGACAATGAGGAAATTTTTATCTGCAAGGCAATCTTTTAAATTATTAGTGACTGAACACACAGACATAAGTTTGATTTGCTATAGTTTGTAATATTGAAGGACATATCAGAAAAGTTCATATTCTGTATACTACTTTTAAGTAGAACAAGAACCGAAGAAAATTTTAATGTATGGATACTTTTTACCTCTTAAAGAGCATTTATAAGTACAAACATGTTGGGCTGTGTATCAAGAAGCACAGATATTATCATGTTGATGTGTTAAATATATACATAATAGTTTCAGAGACAAGCTCTAGCCATCAGACAATAATATCCTCAGTTTTAAGTACAGTTCTTAAAGAGTGAGTAAAATCATAAATTAAATCAAAATCTGTCAGTTGAATAATAGGATCTTAGTTGAATCCAATCATTGAATGTCAATGAACATGAACATCTTTTTTTTATATTATTAATCATGAAAGTTATTTAAAAAAAAACTCTGAAATGTCTTAATAAATTAAATGTGAGGTACGCTTGCATAGAAGCATTTTTGATGCTTGGTGTTTTTGTAAGATGATAGTACTTATGAAAGTTCTGCATTTCATATAGATTGCTGTTAATATAATTAGGCTTTTTAAATCAAGTACCACAGTATTATACTGAGAGAATGGGGACACAGTTATTAAATATAAATATTTTTAGTAAACATTTTGGAATCATCAGATAAAATCAATTATCTAGAAAATTAATTAAACAAATTAAATTATGAAAAAATTCACTCTTAACATTAAAAGCAGTAATAATTTATTTAAAAATTATATTATTTCCAACATACAAATACAGATGGATCTTTTTCCACACGTTCATCTAGTTCTTGATAACTTATACCTATAAAAAATATTCTTTTATATCATATTTTGCATATTTATATACATACTAGACAATATAAATTAATTACTATTGAAAGAAATTATGTTTAAACTTGTTATCTATATACTTGTTATGAAACTAATTTGTTCTTTAATTATAATGATTATACATCCACTTACTGGGAAAATAAAGATATCTGCATGCAAGACTATTACCCAGGCTTATTTATTAAAAATACTTCAGTAAAAAAATATCCATTAACTATTTTACAGCTTTGAAAATATGGTGTTCAAATAGTTTATATAATTATTTAATTTAGCATTAGAATAAGAACATTCATATGTTATCAAAATACCTATATTTATTTAATTTTAAAATCATAAATACCTGTTTTACAACATATTTCTTCAAAGCTATGATTACCAGTGAAATATTTGGCTAAAGATCGATGTTTTGTAACATTATCTGATGTAAGTTGTATTGGATATTTTTGAAGTTGCCTAATAATGCCTTTCATAAGTCCAAACTGTATAAGTTTCCTACAATTGAACAAAAGAAATACTTTTTTTATATTATTTTTATATTATTTGTCAGTAAACTAATAGAGATGTTCTTTTACTGTTTACATGTACAAATAATTTTTATATGAATACTTTGGGTTAAGGAATACATAATATGAGTTTCCAGTATTTCTTACAAGGAAATTCACTTTGATGGATGAATTATGTTCAAGACACAAGAAAAACTTCCTGACGTGGAAAAAAAAACAGGCAAATTGACAACCTTGTATTCGGCGTAGATTCTGTAAAATCCCAATCGATTTCTAGGGCAAAACCGCTCCCCCTTCAAACAGGAGAAAAAAAAATTATGCAATTCTGTTTTTGCAGAATTTTTTCATTAGGTTTAACTAGCTTGATCATCTGAAGCATTTGCTGTATTAAATTTGAGCATTTGCTTAAATTTTCCATGAACCAGCAGACCAACTGAGCGATTTTCCGATTTTTTTCGCTAGGAAAAAATTTGTAATTAAGAGAGTTCTGTTAATATAAAATTATTAAAATTTTAACATGTAATATATAGTTTTATTATTATATATAAAATTAGTAGCAATTCAATCGAATGCATTGAAAACCAAAACTAACTCGTCCCAAATTACGATTTCACCCTGAATATAAGAGATTTGCTTTCTCCACTTTTGACTAGATAAACTGCTGCTTCTCTTTTTGCCACAAAGCTATCCAAAATGTAAATGTTTTGTAATAGGCACAAATTAGAGTGCCAAATTGTTTGTGGCTGTAATATGTTTACTTAAATAAAGATGAATATTTAATCTGCCTCGACTGCAAAGTTGCCCTTCTAATGGATCAACATTCATGAAATGCAGTATTTCAGTATCTACACTATCCATGTTTCTACAGCATCAACACATCTAAGTTCGTTTATTACACATATGCACTACATTTCACAATCAATTGGTTTCCTTTTCCATTTATTATTTTGTTAATTTACAATTTTTATTTATTTTTTGCATTTTGCGTTTTTAATCATTGTTACCTTCTCTCTGCTATTATGTCTTTAATTGATTGTTACTATTATTACTATTATTACAACTTATGTAAAAAATATTATTACAACATATGTAAAAAATTAATTTCTGAAAAATAAACACAATGAAAACTTTGCAAATTATTATGTTTGTTGCGAGATCCATGAAAATCTTCTACTGCACAAAAATAAAATAATTTTTTATTATCTGTTCTGATTTGGTTGGGAGTTTAAACCAACTTAGATACAAAACCTTCCTGTGTAAACAAAATTCTGTTAGGTTACATATCTGTGATGGAGATTTCCTCTTCTCTAGATGGGGCTTAAGAGTTCAACATGCCTTTTACAAGAGGATAAATTTTTTCTAACTTCTGATTAAAGTAAGACATGTGCAAAACTTCATTTCTCTTTAGGCAATTTGCAGGATTATCTACATACCTTATTTTAATATAGTATGAAAAAGTTTGAAGTATTTCAAGAAACAATAACCATGAAATGAATGTCTGAAATTTACAGAAATATATGCAATATCCTAAAAACGTTCACAAGAATAGTAATTTTAACATTATACCAAATTAAATCATAGTCTTTTGAAGGTTAAGGAAGTGAATACAACGTTAGTCATTAAATATTTAGATGCTTTTATAATGAGAACTATTTGGCCTAAATTAAGTAAAATAATGATTAAAAGTTTGACATATAGTAAAAATTATGAAAATACAATGCAGAGACATATGTGAGCAAATGTATCTTATTGATAAGCTTAATGCAGGATTACCAAAAACATTTGATTTGTAAAAAAGCATAAAATCTGTGAAACACAATAGAATGGAGTAAAATAAAATAAAATTGCCCATAATAAATTTACACTATAAAGGCATATTACTCACAAATGCAATAAAATGATGCATGCCTGTAAAAAATGTAATGATCATAAGTATCTAGATTACCCACCAGAAGCCTCTCTTAAAGATTATAGGATTACTTCAGGGAAGTTCACTAAAGGATTACTATAGTAGTTTAATTACAGGATTTTAATAATTATAGGATTTTAATTACATTCATTATAGGATTATTTCACTGACAACACAAAGCCATAAAAAGACAAATAATTTAAAAAATGCAGAATTAGAAGAAAATGCGAACTGAACGACTCTTAAATAAAGGTGAAATAATAGAGTATTGTCACTGTGGAAAAAAAATCTATGATGTTATACATTTCCTATTCCATTATAAATAATGTTATACTGAAATTGGCAAGAGATACATCTGTGAAACCATAATTTAGTTGAACACACTACCTGTGAACTACAGACTAACGTTGGAGAGGATGGTGAAAGAGAAATTTGAAGAAGTGGCAGAAAACATTCATAATGAATTCCAAGATGTTTCCAAATGTAATATTAGTAAATGATTAATTTCAAGAAAAGACAAACTTCAGGTTTTAATACCTGAGCAGCTGCATAAAAATCAACATTAACACAACTAATGCATCATTAACAGGGGACAGAACACAACAGATGGCACTGAAACTTTAAATAATACCAAAGTCATGAATCTCTACATTTTCTGGCAATCCAATGGACAAGTGCAGGTGTGCAAAATACCAGGAGAAAGATACTATGTATTACACTTTGTGAAGCTTGATTTTGGAAACATATGATTGCTTTGTGAAGTTTGATTATGGAAACATATGATTGTTTTGTGAGTGAGTGAGTGAGTGATTATGGCGCAAAAACCAGAGATGGTTATGACGCGCCAAACACAAGATGGGATGATTACAATTGATGACATTAAAATTCAATCAATAAAAACAAGTAGATAAATGTATCAAATCCAGAGGATGAAGTCATATAAACACAAGTTAAAAAGCACATATTAAAATTCAAGACACAGTCTTCAAAACAAATTACATTTGGTAATAAAAGCCAATCTCTTTTAAATAATAAAATAAATTACAATTCACCTCTCTTCCGATTAAACGGTCGAGAGGTAAGTCACAGCTATTAAAATATTTCTGGCGAAGACTATTAAAACATGGACACTCAATTAAAATATGACGAACAGATAAACAAACATTACAATTAAAACAAACAGGCTCATTTTCAGCTTTGAGAAGATAGTTATGTGTGACTCGAGTGTGACCAATTCTGAGGCGAGTCAAAAGAACGTCCTCCTTACGATTTCCAACAATATCCCAATGCTCAATTCTAGGCTTGACGTTTCTCAACTTGTTGTGATGCTGAACATCCCAAAATTGCTGCCATTTTTTTCGGACCTTTCCCTTGATGACATTGCAGATATCTCTAAAAGGGATAAGGCGACTGGACAGTTCAACAGCAGATTTGGCTGCGATATCTGCAAGCTCATTTCCTTTTATTCCAACATGTCCAGGAACCCAGCAGTACAGGACTTCATAACCTCGAATCGTTAAATTTATATGAATTTTGAGAACATCCACTACCACAGGATTCTGCATGTTGGGAAAAGCTTCCAAGGATTTAAGAGCACTATACGAGTCTGTGTAAACTATGAACTTTTTGTGGCAGAGCTTTGAGATATACAAAAGACCATAATATATAGCAGTCAGTTCAGATGTTAGGACTGAGAAAGCATGGTGCAGGCATCTGCCCTCTATGTAATTTTCAAATACAAAAGCCATCCCAACATGATCATTTGTCTTTGATCCATCTGTGTATATCGGATAATAACTGCTATATTTGTGCCTGTGCTCAGCAAAGAGTTGTCTATAAACGATCTCGTTAGTGCTTGCCTTCACGTGATGTTTGAAAACATCAAGAAGCTGAATCCGTGAATTTTCAGAGGGAAAGTTCCTCAATGATAGGGCGAAGTCTTAAAGGAAAGGTAGGAACGCAGGATGGACGTGTTTCAAATAAAGTGTTACACTCATTATCAAGTAAGCACAGCTTATTGGGATGTTCAGGTTGGGATAAGATATTAAAATATTGTAAAAGGGACAATTGCTCACGCCTCAGATAAAGTGATGGTTCGTTACAGTCAACATATAGGCTCTGTGCACAGGAGAAGTCCTGAAGCTCCTGAACAAATCCGCAGACCTTGATGGTGAACAGGATCCAGTTTTAACAAAACAGATGACCGAGCGGATCCATAACACAACTGAGCCATAGTCCAGTTTAGAGCGGACGAGCGCTCTGTAAATGCGAAGCATGGAGCAACGCTCTGCACCCCAGGAGGTGTTCGCCAACACTTTTAAAATATTTAGTGTTTTTAGACACTTCTTTCTCAGGTTTAAAACATGAGAAAGGAAAGTCAATTTTCGGTCGAAACGTCACTCCTAAAAATTTTACTTCAGGCGCAACTGGAATAATTGTACCATTCAAATATAACTCAGGTTCAGGATGGAGACCTCGCTTCCTACAAAAGTGCACGCACACAGTTTTCTGTTTCGAAAATGTAAATCCCTGTTTGTGTGACCATTCTTGGATCTTATTCAGAGCCATCTGCAGTTGCCTCTCTACATATCTCATGTCTGCTCCTCGACAGCTAATCTGCAGATCATCACAACATATAGAGATCCCAAGATGGTGGGAGGAAGTTCTTTTAGTACAGAATTTATTTTTAAACTAAACAGGGTTACACTGAGCACACAGCCTTGAGGCACACCCTCTTCCTGTTTAAAAACATCCGAAAAAACAGAGCCAATTCTTACTTGAAAAGTTCTAGTGTTCAAGAAATTTTGAATGAAAATTGGTAGGTTGCCGCGCAAGCCACTCTCGTGAAGATCCCGGAGTATACCGTATCTCCATGCCTTATCATAAGCTTTTTCAATGTCGAAGAATATCGAGACAAGGTGGCTTCTTCTTACAAATGCTTTTCGAATAGATGTCTCTAAGAGGAGCATGTTATCTACAGTTGTTCTTCCCTTTCGAAAACCACTCTGATAAGGCGATATAATATCATTCTTTTCCAAGAAGTAGACTAGGCGGCTGTTTACCATCTTTTCAAACAGTTT